GTGTGTGTGTGTGTGTGTGTGTGTGTGTACGCACGCATGTGCGCACATTTCATGACCTATGTAAGTAAGACCATGCATGTTGGTTGTGGGAACATCACGCCCCTCCAGTTCTAACCTATCCTCTTGTCTGCACAGCATCCAGAAGAATCTGTCAAAAGAAAGCATCTAAGAGATAAAATCTTAAAATAACATGCCCTCACCTCAAAAAGCCATGTCCTTTGCCCAAAGGATTACTATGGCGTCCATCTATCTTGAGGTTAGGTGCGTATAGGTACAAGCACGCAAACAAATTCTCTACAAGGGTGGGCTTCCAGGTACTAGATGGGGTTAATCACCATCGAATCCACTGCTAAAATGTCAAAGATTACAACTGTCTTCGCAACAGTGAAATGTGGTTAGAAATATTCTGGAAGGTTCAGAATGCCCACTAGGATGTCTTCTTGGCCCCTCTTCCCTCTGAGACCAGTAACAGGGAGCAACACAAGAAGTGAAATAAGCATTCTGTTAACAAGCTCCACATAATGAGTCCACTGCTAGGAAAACATGCATTATATATCGTGGTAGCTTCCCACAAAATTAACAATACAAATGTATTTCACACTCAATGCTGACAGTATAGGCCTAAGTCAGACTCCGAAGCCCATCATCTTGATTTCTGGCTGGTTGCCTTATCTCTCAACACTGGAACCATGAAGGCTTTTCATGTGATTCAAGTATAGCATTGCATAGGTAGCACGAAGAAAGGAAATTTCTCGAGCCAGGATGCCCTGAGGCCAACAATGGTTATTAAAATTATTTTTCACCTAATTCTTTAGGAGGGGTTCATTAGAGGTAAGAAACACAAGGGCCTTCTGTTTTGGGTCAGAGGGAGGATTTCTGGGATGTAGATCCCGGGGGGCTAGAAATGGACAGCCCTCAAGTGGCTTTCCTTCCTAATGGTCATGTCTGATGCTGGCTGATGAAGCCTTGCAGAATTCTCCCATAGAACCGTTTTGCAATGATGTTCTAGGGTAGACATAATGAACCTCCATTGATCTATGATGTTAAGATCCAACTGGAGCTCACTGGGATTATTTTTCTACAAGGGGCACTAGTGTGACTTTGCTTCCAGACGTAAACACCAGAGGTCTAAATACTGTTGTGCAGAGAAAGGCCTGTTGTTGAGTCTGCGGGGTGGGGAAGACTGCTCCTCCAACAATACAGGGAACAGCCTTGGGGAACGGTACCAACTTTGACGGCTCTTTTCTGTAGTGCTAAGTTGTGCAAATGTTTTTCCGATTCAAGTTAATGAATGGGAATTCTATAATATACTTGGGAGGTTCAGGTAATTCCTGTTCTGGGGAATGCCTTCTTGAAGGGCAAACAGAAGGAGCCTTGGGGTTGGTCATGCCCGGGGCGTCCGAATGGAGGAATGGAGGAGGTGATTCCTCCGTGCGCCGTGGAGGGAATGGGGGGATGATGCCAAGGGTGAATAAGAGAAAGGCTGTTCAAGCATAAGGACACCTCTTCAAAGTATGCTTGGCTGCTGCAGGGACCTGGTTTCCCCAACACCCCAGGTCCTATGGGCACAGCGACTGTTTGTTAAGCCAATTAAAAAGTACATTTCCAGACATGGGTACAAGGAATGGCAAATGTGACAGGATAAACATGGAAATGCTGACATGAGAGGAAGGGGAAGCCCACGGGTAGGATGGCTGGTGGGTCTAAGTATACCCTGTCCCAGAATGTCCCACAAGGTGCCAGAACTACAGCCCAAAGGCTCTCCATCTAATCCTGACCTCTCGGCTCTGGCTCAGGGCGTGGGTTTGCCAACAACTAAATTCATCTGCTTGAATAATACCTAATGGGTGAAATCAGATTTGGCCCCTCTCTAGCATTGAAACTCTCTTTTGAGCGTGTTTCTAGTGTTTTCAAGAACCCATCAGTATCAGCTAGCACTACCCAAGGAGGGGACAGTGCCACTAGAAAATTACTTACCTACACTGTGTTTTTCCTCTAAAATATAAGAACCAGGGAGGCAACCTTAACCATTTTGCTCACTCTCGCAACCCTATGTCACAGGCTCTGGGTGATGTGTGCTAAATGAATCAGTAAGATGAATGAATGAATGAATAACTATCAGCCTGCTTTTCCATGATCCCCAAGGTAGACAAGTACTTGTTACATGAAACTGCTGTTGGGGAAACCTGACCAACGCGGTGACTAGAATGGTTTTATACACCAAGGCAAAGAAGGATGAGAGAAGAAGGGGTTCACAGACCTTCAGATAGCCAGGAGCCTAAGAGAACAAGTTGCTATTATATAAAATGATGTAAATGGTTTTTTTTTTAAACCTCTGGAGCAGGGGTTGTTTGGCAAACCTCTGTAGAAGCCAGCCAGATAGTAAATATTTTCAGCTTGGCAGGCTTATGGCATAAGCGACTCTGGTGCAAAGACTTGACTTTTCTACTGTAATGCTGAAGCAGCCATGGTCAGAGACGAAGCGTCAAGGAATGGGCGTGGCCATGTTCCAATAGAGACTTAGGTATGGACACTGGCATCTGAATCTCACATGCTTTATCCTTCTTTTGATAACCCCTCCCCGCCCCCCCTCCCCACTATTCAAATGTAAGAACGTTTCTTAGCTCTCGGGATTGGGCTCCCGACCTACAGTTTGGCAACTCCATTCTTGACAAGCATTGTGTGATCACTTTGGCCACTCCCTCTGCCTTGAAGACACCAAACCCTTCAGAATGAGCCTGGCCCTTCCTCCGTGAAAGCAAACTCTCAGACAAAAACAATACGAGGAATACCGCAGGGAACAACCCCACAGTGACTTCCGGCCGGAGGGTCTCCTCTGGTCCCTATCACAAGTTGAAAACCCTGCCTTCAGTTTGATTTAGGGCTGAAGGACGAAAGGAAATGCATAAATAAATAAAATCCACAAATAATCAAAGAATCCTCCTAATGGCCTGCAATGCTCCCAGGCCACACTCACCAAAAAACAACATTAAATCTGCCAGAGAGAATCACTTGACTTACTGGTGGTCTGACTCCTTTCCTTCTCCGGGCAGCCCTTGCGGAGAGTGAGGAACAATGAGTCAAGTCAATAATCAGTTCCTCAGTAATGAACAGTGGCCCCACACTCTCAAATCTGGAGTCTGGGACATCTACTTGGGCAAACCGTGACACTGTGAAACACTTTATTCTAACTGAATGCTGAGAATTTAATTTTATCAACTAAATAAATGCAAGAACTTGCATCACTGTATAATCACCAACACATAGAGATTTTAGGTAGCAAGAGCCGTAAAGTTTGTTCTGTTGAAACCAGTTTTTCAAGGGCTTACTACACATCAGTCTGAAGTGAACTTTTGGAAGGGAAGGGGGTGGGGGGAGATAAATAACGCTACTGTTTTCCTTCTGAAGAAACATGCTAAATTTAAAGATGTTTCCAAAGACTTACGTAAAAATTTGGGGATTTTATGATGTGCCCTTTGCCTGTATGAATCTCTTACTGTTCTAGTAAGTTCATCTCTGTAGTCTGAATGGAAAAATATTAACTAGCTAAGGAAAATAACTTTGGAGACAATCTTACTAAAAAAATGTAATATGTCCTCTAAGATGATAACTAATTAAAAAAAATCCTTTCTATCCTGAAAAGTCACAACAAAAAGTTTAAGTGTGTTTTGGCTGATTTTTCTCTGCAACTATTTGAAGCTGTAAATGACTTAACTCAGTAAAATTCCAAATGTAATTATCTTCTGTACTTAGCCTAGGGCTCTCCATATATCTCGGCATTGCTGTCTTGCATACAAAGTAGGCTTTTCGATGGCTGGTAACAATATAATGTACAACATTGTTTTAATTTCCCCTCGTCGGCTAACCTCTTGCCTGCACTAAACCAGCCAGAGGAAGAAGCCACAGTGAGTCATCAAGCACTCAAAAGCATTTTGGAACTCGGTTGCATAAATGGGGTTTTGCAGGGTCAGGCTTTTGCAATTGTACATTTTAATAATCTCCATTTCTGACCCAATTTTTACTTTTAGAAACTAATTTTCTATTAGTTATACCAAGAACGGAATTGTTAAAATATGGTGGTTCATCAACAAGTGACACCGGGAAGTGGAACCCACATTAAAGAATGCCCCCCATCCCTCCTCACAACTGTGAGCCACAGGAAAAGAGGCAGAAGTTTACCTTCTATAGTCACAAAACACATTCAACATGGCCCCAAGGACTGCCAAATATAAGATTTTATATCTCCATATACATATATACACATGTGTATATAAGATATATGTATACACACTATATATATGTATGTTATGTATCTGAATACATGTTTGCATGTGTGTGCATATGAGTGCATATTTACAATGTCTGCACTGAACTCTTGGTTCTCAGAGAGAGAAGGGGACAAGTTAACACGAGGAAGAAATCCACACGCAGCTTCTATGTTAACTCATGGCAGCACGGTCGAGTGTGTGCGTGGGGACGTGTCTGTGTGTGTACGCGCGTGCGCGCGTGTGTGTACACTTGCTGCTGACACTCGCGTGTGCTTCCCCTCCCACCCCGCCCCCCATTCTTTCTCAGCCTCTCTCCCTGGCGCGGCTCCCTAACTCCAGGTTAGCAATATCGGCAACCCAGGGGACTTACATTCACAACAGACTAAGTTTTTAAGTTTTTTAACTTAGAACGTTTTCCATTTGGAGAAGACACAAGGGAGGGGGAGCGACAGGGAGCGAGAGAGACGGAAAGCTCACAGAGGCAGCGGGCAGTCGGGAGGCAGACACAGAGAGAGGCACAGAACTTCGAAACGCCTGAGCAGCAGCTCTCAAGGAGCAGCCAAAGGTGACCTTTCCCCAAAGAGTGAAAAGGGAAGAGAAAAAGAAAAAGGACAACAACCAATTTTGGACCTTCCATTCAATAATGAGTACACAGGAACTCATTTCAGAACACTACAGAAATGAGGAATTTGAGGAATACTGAGGGAATATTAAAAATAAATGTGGCTTTAC